AGTTTTCAGTTTAGTAAACTTTATATTACTTTGCGCAATGATGGAGATTATCACTTGGTATATTTTTTGTGCAGGCTGCCATGGTCACAAACAATTTGATTCAATTGAATTAATACAAGTTGGTACAACTTTTTTTTTTATTTCTTTTAGAAAGACTACACAACGGGGGTAGCCCATCCCCCAACCAAGGTGCAAGCAAGATTCGATCCCAAGTCTTTGCTACAACCAACAAAGACCTTATCAACTAGCTGGTCGGCACTTTGCAGTTGGTGCAACTTTAACTATTGTTGAAACATTGGTATAAGATATATTAAGTGGAAACTTCTATTCTTATTACTATGATGTAAGTTGGGGTAGACCACTACATCCGTGCAAGGTTGAGGTAAGTAATGCGAGATTCTGCATTAGATTTTGTATAGCCATCTGTGATTACTAATGGTGTGGTGATGTGTAGGTACTTGATGTACAACTACTATTGGTCATAGAAATTCCTCATATAAATGTGTACTCTATCACAAGTTCATTGACTATGGAGCTAAATCAGCTTCGTGAAAGTATTAGTGACGGTGACACCTCATCACAATAGTTCCTAGCATGGTTTTGAAAATCTGACCGGACCGGATAGTTGAACTGATTGACCAGGGAACTAGTCAGGTAATTCATTCTGTTTCACCCTAAAATCGCTTTTTGGCTAAAGTCATTGATTTGATCAATGACCCGTTAACCCGGGTAGTCGAACCACTAGCCCATTGATCTGGATAATGGTTTTTGGCTATTTTTATGTGGTTTTATTTTATTTATTTTTTAAGTCATAATGGACTATCTGTTCGAACCAGACAGTCGGATCATTCAATCCGAGAATTGGTCCCATAACGATTAAGCATGTCAAAGACTATCGCGTTGAGCATGTCAAAGACTGTCACCAGTGCAATTACAGAATAAGTTTCTGTGAACATGTCCAAAACATCAACTCCTGGAGCCACGGCGACTATGCAATCAAAAGATGTTGTGACTGACTTAGTTTGGCTATTCGGGTATCAACTATGTGATCGCCACTAAAAGTGCTTCGAGTTGAAGTGCAAGTAACAAAGGGCTCATCCTTGTTGTCAACCTAAGGAAAGAGTAGGATGATTATGAAATAATCTCATTGTCTATAGATGTTGTCAACCTAATGGAGGTCCAAGGGACCTGTTGTAGGAAAAAATGCAGTCTTGAAGGCAATGTTTTAAAAACTAGACCAGACATGGAACCGTTCAGGGGACTGGCTCCTAGGTTGAATGGTCTGACCGTCTGGTTCAAACAAATGGCCCATTCTGACTTAAAAAAAATAAATAAAATAAAAACAACCAAAAACCGTTCTCTAGGTCAATAGGTCACTGATCAAATCAACGATTTTTTACCAAAAGCGGTTTTAGGGTGAAACGGAACCAATTATTATTGCTACCTTGATGCAATTTACTATTGCAAGCCCATTAAAGAATTAAGTTGGATTGAATGTGTCCGATGGATGAAGACATATGATGTGTTCAACAAGATGGATTTTAAGGTGAAGATGATGAGATGGCAGATGGTACATGTTGCTCATTATCTATGGAAGTCATCACTTTACAAAGGATCTGATTTTGAGGAGATGGACGAGGCTACCATTGCACAACAAATTGTGGAATTGGATGCTAATATTGTAACTTTAAGGCTCAGTTTGAAAGGAGTATAAATATAAATTTGTAGAGTGCAAAACCTTGTATTTTGTATTATTTTGTATGTATTTGCACAGTACATACTTATATTTCCACTCCTACCAAACTGAGCCTAAAGTTACACATAGCAAATTTACAAGTTGATGTTAAGAAACAAACCAAGGAAAGGAAAGAGATGAGGAAATGCAAAAGCGAAGAACATTCTTCAAAAGGTCACTATGATGAGAGTAGCATGACTATAAGAATATATGTATATATAATGTTTTTTTGGCAAGATGAAAGATTTAATGAATTGTAAATTGTTTTGTTATGTAAATTAAAAGGAACACTTTCTATAATTCCCTTTTTGAGTTTTGCCAGTTTTATAATCTTTTTTTTTTTCGCAAGGTAGTTTATTTTTGGATGTCCATGTATATTAAAAACAAAGGAAGCAATGTGATTTGTGACAATTAAGCATAACACCGTTATCCATATCATAACACAAGTACTACGACATCACAATAACTTTCCACTATGATTGTTTAAATAATCTTTTTTTGTTAGTATATGGGAGTGGTTACCCAGGGCTTTTGGTGTTTGGGACTTATTACTCAAGGCTTTTGTATTGCTGATTGTGCCTAGGATTGGTTACCTAGGGCTTCTGTGTTTAGAACTGGTTACTTAAGGCTTTTAATTTGTTTTTTGTGGCCATGACTAGTTATTTAGGGCTTTTGTGCCTAGGATTGGCTACCCAGAGCTTTTGATTTGCTAATTGTGCTTAAAACTGGTTACAAAGGGCTTTCGATTATTCGTTTAGGGATGGTTACCCAAGAATAAGTCGTGCCCAGGATTGGTTTCTTAAGCTTGTAGTGATTGTGATTTGGTGTCTAGGATTAGTTATCCAAGCTTTAGATAGTTGTGATGTCGGATCTTTTTTGACATGTGGATTCATTAGTATACACATAGAGATATTGTTGCACTATTTCAAAATGAAAGATTGAACTATCATTGGAGCCAAGGTTCAAAGTATCGACACGTATTGGCCCGTATCGATCGATACGTATTGTATCGAGAGCATCCCGATACGCCCCTATAGAGGGTGTGTTGGGGTTCTAACCGGTTCAGGGAGTGGAGGAGCTTTAAACCGTCCCCCTGAACCGCTTATGAAAAAAAAATAAATAAATAAAAGGACCGATACTGCCCGATACACCCCTACCGGCGTATCGATATTTAGAACCTTGATTGCAGCATAAATGCAATACATTGTAGATGAGTATTCATCCTACTGATAGAAAGGAATATAGTTGATATTATCCATTGAAAATAATACAAAAGAATTATTCATGATACATCTTAAGCCAATACCATTCAAAGTCTCATCTTTCTCATTAGTGTCATGATCCCAAAGCACATAGTATTCAGAAGGGTGCGCTTTCTTGATGAAATAAGTAGCAACTAATTAGGGATGAATGTATTGGCAGACTTTTCTTGTCGCACATGTAGTGCCATTTTTAAATCTTTATTGCCTTCTTTGAAGATTTAGATTTTGCCAACTTATTGAAATTTGAAGACATGATCTTATACTTTATTTGCTTTTGGAGACTGACCTTGAACTTCATCAAGGGCATCTCCCTATGAATTGCTTTTGCATAGGCATCTATAAGAGCTGAATCCTTTCAGCCCAAACATAGGCGTTACTTCAAGTAGGTTGACAATGAGATCTACAAGGAATAGCTCTACAAGCATAGGCATCCAGCCGCACATGGGAAACATCTCCCTATGAATTTAATGCACATGTATGGGGGATATTCCCAATGTGTGCGTAGAGTTTTTGTTTGTAGATCAGCAGGTTGTCTTATTCTTCAAGTTCAACATCATCACATTAGAGAAATGGACCCATTAAACCATGACCAAGTGAAGCTGAATTATGATGGGTGTGGCTAGGAGTGTCAATGGACCAGTTTTGGATTAGATCCGATTGGATGGAGAAACAAGACATTGAATTGGAGCAGTCCAGACTTTAATGGTCCAAATTGGATTGAATTGAACCTGATTCATCCATAATGAATTTATATTGGATTGGGTTGGATTGAGCCAATATCTGATCCATTGATAAAAGATAAGAATATAGGTGTCAATGGACCAGGTTTGAATTAGAATTAATCTAAATTAAAACAAATTGGATGAACCAGACATTGAATTGAACCGGTCCAAAATATTCATCAGATTGGATTGGACCTGGTCCATTTGTAATGAACTCACATTGGACTGGATTGAATTGGACCAGATCCAGTCCAATTGACACCCGTGTGACTTGGGTAATCTGCGCATTTCACGCGTGGAAGAAGCATTTAAGGTTATCAATGGCCTTATTATCAGGCCCTACAGAAGGGGAATCAACATGGACCGAAATTCTAGCTGCTTTTATATGGACTGAAGTTGGAAGGACATTGAAACATATACTTGGTGGCAATGTTTAAAAACCAACCCAGAAGCTGAACCGTTTTTGCCTCCGGTTTGCAGGTCAATGCTTTAACAATCCATGTCGGATGGGTCAGACTGATAACACATCATCAATATATATAGTATAAATATGAATAAATGAATAAATATATAAACATATATTATATAGAATAAATAATATATAATTACATTCTACATATATATGTTTCATTTTGCCTAGTTTATATTTTTTGTTTCAATTTTTAAATTTTTATAAATAAAAAAGTTAAAAATTGAGATATGAGGCTGAAATGGTGTTTTTGGCAAAAAAAAAAAATAGAGGCAAGGTATCCTGAAACGTGTAAATATAGAAAAATTACCCAAAATTAAAAACTTATGGCCTCCGAAAGTTTTGATATAATACATCCAACTTGTAATCCATGCCGTGGTAACGAAGTTAAACAGGCCAACGATTCAACCACCAGGCTTACACAGGTTTGACTAAGTCAATAATTTTTTGTCAAATGGTAGGTTTTAGGAAAACCTGAGGGCCAGGTGATGGTTCAAATGGTTCGACCGTCCAAGTCAACAGTAGGTTGAAAATGTAAAGGAGACTCCAAGGTGGTAGACTGGTAGTGAGTACAATGGCTAAGAAACAACACTGAGACTTCATGGCTACATAGGAATTTAACCAGGGAAATCAAGCTATTGACTAGGAAAGTGGTGATGAATATTCTTGGGTGCACAAGTCAGCTAACAGTTTGACTGACACAATGGACAAATAAAGGGCATACAGGATGAGATAGCAGTAACTAGCCCTAATTCACAGGTATTGAGCACATGTACAACCAACTAATAAACTTTCAACTTTTACAAATCTAGTAAAATATCAAACCCAATTATACAATTTATGAAGAAACATGTATAGCATAAAAACATAGAGGAAACCAAAAATGTAGCTACCCAATAACGTTATACAAAGATGCATAACATTTTAGTTATTACTATATTAGGTATTATTACTTCTATTCGGTAGCAAATTCTCAGAAGAAAGAAAATCAACAACCTCAGTGCAATAAGAAATACAATCAACCAAGATTTTCTTATACCTTAGCCTCCATTGAACTACCAATTTCCATCTTTCTATCGAGCGTATCATCTTCCTAGAGAATGTGATGTCACCACCACTTCCTCCCTTCTGCAAACCATTAGCTTCAAAGAAAGCACCAACCTCACCTCCAAAAGCCAACATCATCTGTTCATACTCCACCTCCTTGGGTAAAGGAAAATTTTGCATTTTGTCAATAATGTGTAGTAGCAAATCATCATCTTCAACTTTAGTTGGAAATTTATTCAAAAGAATTTGGCAGTTTTTTGCCATCCATCTCATGGCGGACATCTCATTTTCTGCTGACAGTTGAGATCCTGAATAAGCATAGTGTGCAACAGACTTCCGCTGGTTTGGTGGGGTTGCCCATAAACGTAATGCAGACAGTAGAGTAAAAGATGGCTTCCCATCTTGCTGGATGTAGAGTGTATCCTTAGACCATGAACTAGATGAGCAAATTTCAGCATCCAACTCAATAAACGCCTTGTCATTAGGGTTCATATCAAGAATAAACCCATAGTGTTCAAGAAGCTCCAAATTCGTGTATGTTCCATAACTTAAAAGGACCTGCAGATAAGAATGCATGAGATTACAGTTCAGCTAGTTAAGTCAACCCCCAAAAAAAACGATGATGAGGAACCTGCAAGTACAGCATTGAGTGGGACACGAGAAATGTGCAATCTTTCTAAAAAAGAAAAAAAAATCTCCAGAATCAGGCCATCAACTGAATAAATGGGAACCAAATGGCTTAAGAATTCTCAACCCATGCTGTTACTTTTCTATCTAGCCCAGCTGCATTGCTCAATCGGTTCCATTTTTATCTGATTTGTAACTGAAAAAATGCTTTCTCTGAAGAACAAAGAACTTGCAAGCTCTCTGAGCTCCAAGAATCTCAGCTCACAAATGAAGTAGCTCAATCTCAAGGGACTTAGAGAAGGATCTCCACCCCTCCAATAGCTACTTGGGAATCACCTTTTTTTATCAATAACAGAAAAACTTTCACTAATTAAGAAAAGAATTACAATGAAACACCACGGAGAGAGGTAAACTCTCTTAACTCTCTCCGAGGAGACATGAAGAAAAAACAACAAATAACATCACAGCCCAAAACAGATGATTCTTTCCCACCCCTTGCTTTGCCAAGGCATCAGCAAAAGAATTAGCACATCTTTTAACCCACTGAAGTTTAACCTTTATGCCTTGAGTTACCCATTTGAACTTCCTTCTTTAATTAATGTAATTCCACCAACCCAACTCCTCCTTTTGCAGCCAACTAATTACCAGCTTAGAGTCCCCTTAAATGATCAGTTTTCTGATGTTTAGTTCTTTTGCTTTCCGAACACCTTCCATCAAAGACATGATCTCAGTCCTCAAGGAGTCCCCTGAACTAATGGGTCCAAAAAAAGAGAGCAATAACCCTCCCCTCCTCATTCTGAAAGACACCCCCTATGCCTAATGGGCCTAGGTTTCCCTCATTAACCATCAGAGTTCAGCTTGATGAACCTAGAAGTAGGAGGGGACCAAAACGGTTTGATAACAGTCTTGGATAAAGATGAGTTAGCCATCCCCTTCCATTTCCTAAGCAGGTCATCGACGGGTATGCCTTCAAAACTACTCAAATATTTCACCCAATGGACCACTCTTATGGTAATAGTTTCAATGAGAGCCTCTTTACTTCTCTCCTTGTCTGAAAAGCTCTTTTTTCTCCCAAACCGACCAGCAAACAGCTGCTCTTGTGCACTTCCACAGAATTCTCCCCCTCATTTTCCTCCAATTGACAAAGGTAGGGTTGAACAAGCTTCAAACATTTGGTGGGGGGTTCCACCTGCATCCAAACAAAGAGAAAAATCATTCCCAAATAACAGAAAGAAAAGGACAGGAGATTAATAAGTGGTAGCAAGTCTCACCATTGGCCTTACAAAGGATACACCAATTGGGGGAAAGACAACTATTTTGTCTCTTTCTCTGAATGAGATCACAAGTATTGATTCTTTCAAGGATAACTTCCTAACAAAAACTACTAGTCCTAGGAGGAATAGGTTTGTTCCAAACCTCTTTAACAACAAAAGGCACCAAAGAAATGTATGTAGGTTGGGTCAAGGCCAAGAAAAAGGAAGCACTATAAGAAGAAGGGCACCAAAACTGACTATCAGACATTGAGGAATTCAAGAATACCCCATCCAAACTATGAAGTAAGTTGGAGACACAATTTAACTTAGCATCTCTAAGTCCCCTCCTAAGCCCCAAATTCCAAGCAAAGCCAAAACTGGAGCTAGATGGCACTAAAAAAGAAGAAACTAGCTCATCCTTGAGGTCAGACAAAATAAAAAGGGATGGGAATTGTTCTTTCAAAGGAGAGTCCCCCAACCACACATGCTCCCAAAATTTAACAAGGTTTCCAAAGTACAAGGTATTTAATGAAAGGTAAGAAAAGAGGTAAAATGTCATGGATGGATCTCCAAGGTGAAGCTCTTGTTGCTCTAGCCCATGGACCAATGTACCAACCATCAGCCGCAAGCCCATGAATGCTTATAACCCCACCTTTGCCCATAATTTGTCCTTTTCTACTGGAAGTCTCCATAACCACTTACCCAACAGAGACAAATTCCTTTTTTGGATGCTCCCTAAACCTAGACCACCAAAATTCTTTTCTACATACCACCTCCCAGCACACTCTATGATCCTTCTTCTCCTCTCCAGGCTCCCATAAGAAATCCCTTATGAGTTTTTCCAATTTTTTACTTACCACTTCTAGAATTTTAAACACCGACAAATAGTACACAGGCAAATTAGTCAATGTAAACCTAATCAAAGTAATCCTACCCCTCAAAGACAAGTAGCTTTTCTTCTAGGAGGCCAATCTTTTAGCGAATCTCTCAATCACTGGATTCCAAAAACTCATTTCTCGGATTATCACTCAGAGGTAGACCCAAATATGTCATAGGCCACTGAGATACTTCACATCCAAGAACTTCAACACTATCTAAGACCTCCCTCTGCCCTAAATTCATCCCCACCACACAACTCTTATCAAGATTGACCGTCAAATTGGACATTTTCTCAAAGAGCTGGATAACCAATTTCAGATTTCTAATCCACCTAATATCACCCCCCATCACTGAACAAAATAGTATCATTCGCAAATTACAAATGAGTGATTGGCATGCCCTCCCTACCAACTCTCCATCCCCTCACCAAATTCTAGGAATTTGGTGAGGGGATGAATTTAGTGTAAACAGATGGTCTTCCAAGAACATCTGCAATTAGTGTAAACAGGAAGGGTGAGAGAGGGTCCCCTTGCCTAATAACTCTAAGAGCAGGAAAATGATCCACAATAGTTCCATTTACCAGAATAGAGTGGTGAAATGACCTAACACACCCCTGATCCCCTGATCCACCTACACCATCTATCTCCAAATCCAAAACTTCTCATAACCACCAAAAGAAAGTCCCAATCCACCATATCATAAGCCTTCTCCAAGTCTAGCTTGCACACCAAACCTCTCCTCCCACCCTTTATTGCTTCCACACTCTCATTAGCTACTTCGGAATCACTTTTAACTAGAACATTCTCACATCCCATGAAAAGGGACAATTTGAACCCATGAAGAATACAGAGGAGATCAATTCTAACAGATCACAGGCGTCTACAAGACCAGAGTAGACCAAAATCACCACCTGACTATTATCTCTTAAGCAAGGGTCAAAGTATCGAATTATCGATACACCTTGATATAGCGGAAGGGGTGTATCGGTAGTTTGTACCACATGCATCCCTTTTTCTAGTTTTTTTTTTCAAAAATAGGGCAGGGGGTAGGTTTAAATGTTGTTTAACATTTTAAAACAACAGCTTAAGGTGTATTGGCCACTTGCCAATACGATACAATACGTCTAATACAAGGCATATCGTGTCAAAAATTTGAACCTTTCTCCTAAGATGTCTCCTCTTCTGAATAGCTGGAGATTGAAAAAAATCCATGAAAGTGAGATTTACATTATCTCCTCTTGGAGGGGACTACCTAGGTAGGAGAATCCCTACCATTCTTTCTTTCTTTCTTTTTTTTTTTTTTTGCCTGCCATAAAGGCCCTAGGTAAGTAATGTCATATTAACTTTGAACCAGCACTTAAGAACAAGAAACATAAGCAAACAAAGTCAAAGAAATCATTGAACTGGTTCTCTGCATATGGTAAACATGTAAGCTTCATGCTCACTTAAGAGTTGCACCCTTTTTTTTCCCCCACGTGAATCTCTCAATTGCCTTCTCTTGATCATTCAATTTGCTGACTGGTGTAGCTCAAACTCTCATCCTGAAAACTCTAAAAGTCCACATTAATGTACTATTTATAGGGGTGTTCTCAGAATTGCAGTATGAATTTGAGTCATGTTTTGGTTGCTGATTAAGTGCTTCAAGTAAAATTCATATGGAGGTGCATTGAGATGGCTATAGACATAATTGTTTGCCTTGCATGGTTTGTTTGGAAGCCCTTTTTTTTCAGGCCTTAGATTTCAAAAGAGAAGGGTCACAAGGGTTTTGTTGGTGTTGCTTGCGATTGTCTTTTTTGTTGTCTTCTAGTGTGGGATGACCTATTTTGAGGGTTGGTTCTTTTTCATATGTGGAAGGCATAGTTTCTCTCTTAATAAAAAATCAGAATATGATAATTTTTTTTTTTTTGTGTGTGTGTTTGTGTGGGATTGGGTAGCTAACTTCCTTGCAGTGGTTGTTTAGGCTCCCTTTAGGCTGTGAAAATTCCCATTCTTGTTCACTCAATTTTCCCTTCCTTCTTAGTTAATTACTTTTGAAAAAGAAAAGAATGGAAAGAAAAGCTACCAATCTCCCGTGCAGAGAATTATCTATAATACATGCATGACCTAAAAGTTAAATAAATTATTAATTAATGTTTTGTTTAATCTAATTAATTAATCCTCTTTATTTATTCAAATAATTTATTAATTAATATTTTGTTATTATTTAAATTTCTACAGCTGATTGGTGGGTTGCATATGTTGTTTCTGCTCCAAATTCACTAAAGATTGCAATCAGAGTTCTTAGTTTAACATGTAGTTAATCTGGATGTGAGAGAAACTGAATCATATTTGAGCATGTAATTAAAAATTGTACCTTATTATACTTGAATTTTTAACATTATATTTTATAATCCATTATATGTTTATACTTTTAGTTCTAAATTTTAAAAATCAATCTTATGTTTTATGAATTTATCATGATCCATACCAGAAAGAGGAATCGGTTGGATCAAAAGCGCTTAAATGACTGAGTCTTCATTAAGTTTAACCAGTTACTTAAGGAAAACTTTGATTCATGTATTCACTGACCCTATATCTTTGAAAGATATACATGAGAGTAATGAATGGTTATTAAGGGAGATGGAACATGAAGATGTTGGAGCCAAAATGAGCTAGTATTTTTTTGATGAATGATAATAAATTTATTAATTCAGAAGCAGATTTACAGTGAGTTCATACAACATCCCAAGGAGAGGCGCGAGCTGCAGCCCCTCCTTGAATCTTACAAGTAAACTAGGAAAGAAAAGCAAGAATCACAACT